TCAATCCGCATGTTTTTTGTGTTTTTTTTTTTCTTTTTTTTTCTATAACTCAATTTAATCGCATCTCAGAGTCTCAATTGATCGGCAAACTTAGTCGCATGAGGACGTCGATCGCGGAGATTTTTCTTTAATAGAACAAATTAAAATAAAAAAAAATAACTCAAACTCTTTTTTTTCATGTGTGTAAATTGATAAAGAATTGCTTGAATGAGAGAAATATTCAGTGTGGCTCAGCGTTTTATAAGTCTGGTTATAAAGACATTATTGTGAATATTGCAGTTAAATTTGATTGGGTTTGAATCGTTTGTCACATGGAAAGCTGATGCTTGGTGTTACTAAGTGAGAAAAGTTTTTAAAAAATAAAATTTGGAGTTCAAAAAATCTAGAATTTAAAAAGAAAAAACTTAAAAAATAAAAAAATAAAAACAAAAGAAATTTTAAAAGGTTTTACAATATTTAAGATCCAGACAAAGTTTTTAAAAAATTGAAACAAAACCAAAAAAAAAATAAATTAAATACTGGTTTTAAAAAAATTTAGATTTTTATTTTAAAATATAACTTTGAAAAATTAAAAAATCAAAGACATTTGTCAAAAAGTATTTTATTAAAAAAATTCAAATTTTTTTATATTTTTAAAAAATTTATTATTATCTTTTTTATTCATTTAAACATTTTTTTTTTTATTTTTTAAAAAAAAAATTTGGAATTTATTTCAAAATTTTTGAAGTATTTTAAAAAAATTTCAAAAGTATTTTAAAAATATTTTAAAGTTTTTTTTTTCTAATTTAAAAACATAAAAAAAAATTAAAACTGCCAAAAAGTTGAAATTCATTAAATTATTAAAATTATTGTTTTTAAAAAACTAAAGAATGTGTTTAAGCAGCACAATTAAAATAAAACTTATTAACCAACAAAGCGGAAAAAATAAAAAGATTCAAAGAATCGTGGCACAAAAAAAGAATTGAGTGAGGTTAGTGAGACAAAATCAGCTGGCAACAGAAAGTGAAGAATAAAGAGAGAATTGAGACTTGATTAAATATTGAGAATTTATGCTCAAAAAGACTGTTTAAACTAACATGTACAGTTTGACGTAAAAAAAGGTATTCGAATGTGTAAAGATAGCAAAAAAAAATAAAGTAAAGAAACAACAACAGAACTGCCAATTGAGAGCAAAAAAAGTGAAAGAGAGGATTTAAATTTATTTAATTAATTGTTTTTAGCGATTTAGTGACAGGAAATAACAAGTTTAAAAAGTTTCTCAATGTTTAATTAAATTAATAAATTGAAATTTCTCAAAAATCAAGTCAATTACTTTGAAAAACAGACGATTTTGAGTGAAAATAATTTTTAAAATTTAAAATAAAAATTTAGTGATAATAAAATTAAAATTAAACAATAAAGTCATTAGTGTTGCTATTTAAGGTTGTAAACTAGTTTGTGGACTTCAGAACAACGCTTGATAAGCTTCAGTAGCTTCGGATGAACAATTTTACTAGTTTAAAACCTTTAGAATATCAAAATATGCTCAAAATTGACTGAAATATTCATCATAATAAAGCAAAAATAATTTTTAAAATTAAAATCATCTCAACATTCAACAAACCATCACCAAACCCATTAATCCTCACCAAATTTACTCCACAATCATGTATCCAAGTTCCTACAGCTTATCCACTAAACCTCCACCACCGAAATATTCCGATTTCACCGGCTACGGATGGATCATCGTCACATGCAGCTTCATTCTCTACCTCATCGTGGATGGTATCGCATACAATCTCGGTCTCATCAACAGCGCATGGCTAGCCGAATTTAAACAAAGCGAAACTGCAACATCCTGGATTGGTTCAATTTTCTACTCCGTTCCACTTCTTTCCGCACCAATAACTGCACAACTCGTCGAAAAATTTGGTTGTAAAACGATAACGATTATTTGTAGCATTATCAGCACATTTGGATTTGTGATGTCGTCATTTTGCGGGTCAATAGAGCAATTATACTTGACGGTTGGTTTGATAGCTGGATTTGGTGCTAGTGCTGCATATGTTGTTGGAATTTTGAGTGCTGAGCGATGGTTTGAGAAGAACAGGACCCTTGCAATTGGAATTGTGTCATCTGGAACAGGTTTTGGGACTTTTTTGATAGCCCCAATCACTCAGAGGCTACTGGATGCCTACGGATGGAGAAATGTCATGTATTTTTTGGCGAGCTTGAATGTCTTGATGGGATTTGTTGGATGTTTCATTCGAGAACCGCTGTGGGTTATAGAAGAGATGGAAAAGAAGGGCATTAGAGAGCCCAAAAAGAGTGAAAGTCATGGAATATTTGAGGAACATGAGACTAGCTTTGGAACTTTTAGGAGATTGTCTATTGAAGCTATTGATGATATCAAGGATGTTGTTCGAGGTCATTTCAGTGAGCATTACAGTCATTTGGAGGAAGTTGTAGAGGAAAAGGGAGTGAATTTCGATAACTTTGAGGAAATCGTAAGAGAGTCTGAGGATGTTAGTAACATTGATGCTGTAGCTACCTCAAAAAGTGAGGTTAGGTTAATCACTGGCCCAGAAAGTGAGATTATGTCTTTAAATCTTCTACAGAATGAGGTTGAACCATCAAAATCACAATACAATCAGGTCACAACAACAAACACAACATCAGAGATCCCAAAAATTCAGCAAAGTGAGGTTATGTTACAGCACACAACAACAGTTCTTCAATCAAACATCACAAACTTACAACACACTCCGTTTAGACATAACATTGAACAGCAAATAATCGTGCATGATTCTCAAGAACACAGTAATCTTGAAAATAGTATAAACATTATGAAAACTGAGACAAATACATCATCTAGTGCTAATGTCGATTCTCATACGTCACACCAAGAAATTGAGAATGAGAGAATGACAGTGCAATTACCTCAAACAGAAGACGAAGATTATCAGGAAGAGAATTCGGGGTTAAATGGAGATTATGAGGCATTGACACCGATTATAGCTGTTAAAAATATTAGAGAACATTGTGATGACTGCCATTGTATGAGTAAAAATGATTTGAGGTCAAAGTTTGGTTCAGGAGGGCTTCAAAGTGTGTCAAAAGTTGATCAAGTCTTTACTATAAGTGGTCAAGATTTAAAGAATAATCCTGAGAATCTTAAAATTTGTCAGCATAATGGAAATAACCTCAAAAATAGACACAGCACAATAGAAATCAACAACAACTTCCAGAATCATAGTTTTGAGGATAAGTTCAGTAAGAGTGACCCAAACCTTGGTGTTGGCATCAAAGTAGCCAAAGCATATCATTTCTCCAACTCTAACAACCACCAGCTTCCTTCATACACCCAAGTCTGCTACAACTTCCAAAACCATGACACAAATAATCTTCAACCATCCCCACAACCACCAAAGAAGCCTCAAATTTCAACAACAATCCTCGAATTTATTAAAAATAAATTCAAAGTCGTCAAAAAATTATTTTCACATTTTTCGAACCGTGACTTTACACTCCTGGCTATCTCGACATTTGCAATCTATTCTCTCTACAATATCCCAATTTATTTCATAATTGAGTTGCTAAAAAATTACGGCTACACAGAGCCTCAATGCGCAAACTACATATCCTTAATAGGCATCTCAATTCTTATTGGAATGATCACACTTGGATACATTGGCGATGTCAGCGGTAACCACGTGAAGAATGTCAACGCCTTATGTGTTTTAGTTTGCGGCATTTCCGAAATTTTACTTCCGAGTTGTGCTGACAATTCAATCACATTCGGCATTTGTTGTTTCTTTTTTGGATTCACATTTGCATCGGCGTATGTATTGATTCCGAAAATAGCCGAGATGATTGTTGGCGTTGAGGCATTTGCATCGGCAATTGGATTAAACTTTTTTGTGCAAGGATTGGCTCTGCTGGTCGGCATTCCGTTTGCATCGACAATTTACGAAGCGATAGGAAGGTGAGTGATTGATAATTCGGGAAAATGACAATTGATGGTCATTGGATGGATGATTTTGAATTGAGGTTTTAAGGGGTTATCAAAGAAATGTTCATTTGGTTGCTGTTTGTCTGTCTGGGTGTTTTATTGACATCCATTCTAGACACACCTCATTTTACTTGACACAGCATTCATCATCATAGTTAAGGCTTAATGATGTCTAAATGGCTAAGGTAAGACGGTGTGGCTCAGTAAAGCAATGTTGTCTAAACTGTGTGCCGCGGCACACCAGTGTGTCATAGAATTATTTTCAAAATGATACGAGCCACATGCTGTATACGATTTCGATCATGGATTACTCCTAAATTGTGTGCCGTGGCGCAAAAAGTTTGGACAACACTGGTATACAGGAATGATGATTAAATGCGCCTTTGACAGTTGACTTTTATACTTGCATATCGATGAAGCTTGTGCAAGCTTGCATTAATGCGCATATGTGTGATTCAGTTGTCCTTTATAAACATAAATTTGTTGGCATAGCTCTTTGCATCCAGGGTTATGATTTTATTGAGTCAAGCTATTATGTGAAAATAAATTTGAATTTTATTTCATTTGTTTTTTATTTTTCTTTATTTTTTTTTTAATTTTTATTTATTTTATTCAGTTGGAAAATTGCATTCGAAATTTGTGGAACCATCATTTCATTTGGGAGCATATTTGCATATTTAGTGAAAGTAGATAGACAATAAGCTAAGAAGCCTAAAGGAACAATGAACAAGCTTTAATATTAAGTAGCCGAATCTTCCTAGAAACAAAAGAAAATGTGAAATAAATTTAAAAAATTAAGAACAAATAAAATAAAATAAAACAAAATTTTTTTATATATTTAAAAAAATGATATTTAAAATATTCTAATTTTCAGGAATTTTACAAAAAATAATACAAATGACTTTGTTCTTAATACCAAATTCTCGTGCATTCATAAAAAATTATAAACAAATTCAAAATTTATTAAATTTCTTCCCAAAAAAGTTCTTAATTCAGAACAAAAAAAATTTTAATCCACTTCGATCTTGGCAGGACTCGAACCTGCAATCTTCTGATCCGTAGTCAGACGCGTTATCCAATTGCGCCACAAGACCATGCTATTTGTGTATTTCGCATTTGACTTCATCCCTATTTCAGCACGTGATGAAAATTGATGAGAACATTTTGGGAAAAGATCAAAAATTGGATTTGGCGGGAAAATGAATTCTGTTTCAGATTCAAGAATGTTCTGAGTGGGATGGAGTGGAATGTGGGGTGAGATTAGGTTTGGAATGGATGGGAATGTGAAATGGAATTTTTAAAAATTGAGGAAAAAAATTAAAAATTGAAATAAAAATTTTTAAAAATTTTAAAGAATTTTTGAATTTTTTTCAAAATTGTTTTAATTTTTTTTGATTTTCAAAAAAAAATAAGTTAATTATTTTCAAATGTTTCATTAAATAAAAAAATTATTTGAATAATTAAAATAATTTTTTTAAATTCCACCTTTTTCTACTTTACATCAAAAAGTTAAAAAATTATTTCAAAAATATTAAAAAAAAGTCAAAAAAGTAAATCACAACGATCTTGGCAGGACTCGAACCTGCAATCTTCTGATCCGTAGTCAGACGCGTTATCCAATTGCGCCACAAGACCATGCTGTTTCCAACTTCACAGTTGGGTTCGTTCTTGCAAAATGACGTATTTGAAGTTCGTAAGAATCGAAAAAGATCGAATTGACGAAAAAGAATGGCGGGATGATCGGACTTTGCTCGGGTTTTTATTGAATTTTCAAATTTATGAGAATTTTTTATTTGATAAAGTTTCAAAAATATTTTTTTTTTATTTTTTTAAAGTTTTTCAAATTTTATTAAGTTTAAATAAATTGAAAGAATATAAAAATTGGTTTTTTAAATTTAAAAACTAGATGAAAATTAAAATTAGAATTAGAAAAATTTATAATTTTGAAAAAAAAATTATTTTATATTATTCAAGATTTTTAAAAGAATTAAAATATTATTTTCCAAAAAAATGTGTGAATTTGAAAAAAAAATGTTAAAAGTGAAAGTTTTAAATTTAAATGTTAAAATTAAGCTTATTTACACAAACAGCAACGGCAAATGCACACAAAAAGAGCAATCACGATAAAAGCAACACAAACAATTCCAATCGGTGACACAAAAAAGTCTTCAATTCGACAAAAAACTTCGGCAACTTGAATATGATTTTCAACGTCTTCGCTAGCTTCTTGTGGATTTGTTAATGATTTCCAGCTCACAAATTTCTTTTCCAGCTCTTTATCTTCGAACTTTTTAATGATACAGCTGGCAATCTTTGGTTCTTCAGAATATCTTGACTGCAAATGTTCAGCCAGTCCAATGTAAAACCCAGCATTTAATGTGTCGCGTATTATGTCACAGTAAGCAAAAGTTAAACATGAAGTTGCGAGAAATGCAAACAGAATCAACTTACTAGAATAAAAGAAATGTTTATTTTAAGGGTTTAGAGTTACAGATTTTACGAAGAGTCAGCATACTTCATGATTATTTAGGTTTGTTGATGCTTGGTTGATACTTTGTAGATGCTTGTATGAAGCGTTAGGAATGTTGAATATTGCCGGAACTTAAATTATGAAATAAAATTTTGTAAACAGTTTTATTTAAATAGTGAAAAATTGAGTCTTGTTTATAAAAATTTAAAATTTTCAGTAATTTTTTTTAAATAAAATTTAAAAAAAAATTGAATAAATTTAAAAAAATAAAACAAGTTTTAAAACTTTATTCAAAAAACTGTGGTTTAAAAATTTCTTAAAATTTCACAATAAAATTCGCAATAACTTTTGAAACCATTTTGAATTTTTTTTAAACAAAAAAAAATAATGTTAAATTTTCTCACTTCAAACTCTTCAGCGTGGCTTTCAATCTAAGACTAAGACAGCTTATTAAAAAATGTGACGAAGTGGACTGATTTTAATTTGTAAATAATTTGTCAGCAACATTGCTATGTAGATATGCTGAATGCAATTTGATTTGCTGCACACAGTTGAATAAGCACTGCTCTATAGCATGCTTTGGCAGTGGTGGACAACCTTTTTTGTGCTTCGGCACACATTGGTGGTAAGCCGTGACTAAAATTGCACCAGCGTTGATACAAAGTTGCCTTTGCCAAGATTTTGCTTTTGATTTAGCAAAGTCATGCCTTTGCAAAGGCACAAAAAAAGCAAAGACCAAAAAATTGCATTTGACAAAGGCAAAGGCTCGTGACTTTGACTTCAAATTAGCTACGCTTAAGTCCACCTTTTTAAAGTCAAGTGCCAGGTATTAACACTGAATTGCACAAGACATTCAGTTTGTAAACTCGTTTAACTCAAATGTGCCGTAGCACACGGGTTGCAGATCACTGCTCTATAGTATTTGAATAGCTAAAGTAGGAACTAAGGGAAATTAATGTACATTCCTAATGAAAACTCTTTTTTCCGGTTCCTTTTCTACTTTTGATTCGCCTAAATCTTTAGGGGACTGAAAAAGCCGTTCGCTGTGTAGAATAAATCTTATGGCGACTCACAGATATTATCTACAGCTCAGCCATAAAAGTAGAAGGCAATTTTTCAATTTAAAATTGATTTGATTTTCTTACTCAGTAAGTATTGTGAGTTTGTGTCTTATAAGACGTTAAAAAATTGTTTTTCTCGAAAATTCCCGAAAATTTTAACTTTAATTTTCATAAAAATGAATTTCAAGAAGATTTTACTATTTTTAACATTATTGACAGTTGCAAAATGTGAAAATCTTTGTGATTGTGGAAAATTTATAGAAATAAGAGTTACACAAAATGATAATAAACATCAAATTGACTTCAAGTCATTAGAAGAATTTCTCAAAAATCCGCTAATTGAAGGTCGGAGGCTTTATGTCGTTGGAAATTATGGAGAAACTGACGTCCTTAGTGGTGTCATATTAAATGAATTGTATGAAAATGTAAGTTTGAAGTTCAGGGTTAAATACTTCAGTGGCTAGTTTTTAAAGCTGTTTGGAGCATCAGGTACAATCCACTGACTGTACACCCATCTCAAGAATATGTCTTGGTAGCGTAGAGTAGATAATCCTAGGTAAATACCACGTTCATCCATAAATATCGGCGTAGTGGCTTCGATTAAGCTCAAAGTGTATTAAAATCCTAACTTTGTGAGCACTTCCGGGAGATAGCTGTCTTAATACCTTAAATAGAACAACACTGGTTCTTCACTGATGAACAATTCCCTTAAAAATACTCAATTAAAACCATATTAATTACAATTTACATAAATTCCATTCCAGTACAAACCAATCAACTCTCCCGACTGTCTCGTCCACAAATCAAAATTCACATCTCTCATTGACTCCAAATGCTCATCAATGTCAAACAACACAGCATCAATTCAATTATGGAATGATATTTTCCTCTATGAATCTCAAAGTAATCATAAAGTTGCTATAATTTTTGTAAATGTAAAGGCTCAACCTGATCAGTCGCAATATGAAAGTAGAATTTTTTCAGCGCTTTCTGGATTGATGTCGACGATTTATTTTGTGCTGGGTGAAGAGAGCTTTTATAATGAATATTATGGGAAGGAGGTAAGTTGGGGCTGGGTTTGATGATACTTTTAAGAATGCTGGTGACTCATTTGAGTCCTTTTTGTGACTGCTAATCCTAATCTGTACAACATAGCTTCTTTACTTAAAAGAATTAGAGACTTTTGACAATGACTTGACTTTTATTGACTGTAAATAGCATTGATGGCGGTTGTACAGTCAAGACATCTTCTTCAGATTGAAACAATAGCAAGACAGAGTCTTAATAACTACAAAAGGAGGTCAGAACTTGTTTCTATTGCTTCATAAGGCACCGTAACTTAAAAACAATGATATTTAATTTTGATTCCAGTTTAGGGCTTCAAGTAGCCCTAAAAGTCAGCTCATACCTATATGAATGTCGATTGACATTATATTTGCATAAAACTCAATTCAATCTAATAATCCTAATTTTATTGTAGGCACAAGAGTGCGACTTTTACTTCCATATCAACGAACTTGATCAAAGGAATGAAATTGACGAGTCAATCCTTGAAATTCACAGCATTTTGTCACATCAGAACATTGAAATGCACGAGGACTTGCATTTTGCTAAGGAAAATCTGAAAATTTCAAACTTTCTTGACATTCTTAAATTCGGTGCTGATAAAATCGCTGAAATTGAAGCTGAAAAAGTTAGAAAATTGAAAGAATTTGTAAACAATTTGAAGAATTTTGTTGAAGATTCCAACATTTTTGAAGAGATTTTGAGAATTTTTGATGAAATTTTGACAAAAAATGACAGCGAAAAGAAACAAAAAGTTCAACAATTTACAAGAGGTTTCAAGGAACAAGCAGTTGCTATCTACATGAATCTTACAAGCCCACAACTCTCAACTTCAGACATAACAACTCCAAAACTTCAAAGAAAATTTAGAATTTTCAACAAAAAACTTCGTCAAATTGAAAGAATTGTGACTGCAAAAATTCAAATTTTCATAACTGAAGTTGCTGAGGAATTTAAAGATATTCTTGATAAAAAGTTGAAAAACGCACATGACAAGACAATTTTAAGCACCAAGGACACTCAGATCTTAACATTTGGGAATGTAAAATTCGGTGAAGATGTTGAAAAGTTCGAAGCTCCAAAAATAACTCCAATTGAAAGCCAAGAACGAGTATCTTTAAAGAATTTAATCAAATTAGAAGCTACAAGTTTAATTAATAAAAATCAAGAAGATAATACAGCCTCAATTGCAATAAAACTGCAGGAAAAATTCATAAAAATCATCGATACTAAAGCTGTAAAGCTGTTCAATAGCTCAGAATTAATTGAAGAAAAAATCAGAACAAAATCTACAAGAAATTACATTAAAACACTCCAAAAGCTTTTTGAGACTTCAAACATTGAAATTCGGAAGAGCAACGCATTCAAGAAGTTGATGAAGCAACGAAAGATATCGATTCCACTTCCATGCGACATTAAGTGCTGAAATATTAGAACTAATGATGCAACACACTTTTACTTTGTATCATTTATTCTCAAAATGTATAAATAAAATTAATCTGAGGCTAGTGTGCCTCAATTAGTTCTAGAAGAATAGAGATGTCAATTATTTGGGTTTTTAGTATTTGTAAAAATAAACATGAATATATAAATATAGAATAAACCCAATGGTTCATCCCGAGCGGGAATCGAACCTCGCACCTCTCGATTTCCGGTCAAGTGGTCAGACCACTAAGCTATCGGGCTTTGCCATTGCAACTGGAAGAATGCCAATATATGTGAACCACGCTTTTTGAACTTTTCTGTTCTAGAGTTTTCAGCCTTTAGTGTTTTCACTAATTTGGCAAGGCCACTAGAAACCAAATGAAACTAAAATATATAAAAAAAAAAACAGCTATCTCTAGGCTTAAGTTTGAGTCAACTTAAAGACAGACAAAGCAACTTAATGAAAGAAATGTTTAAAGTTCATCAAGATTTTTGCTACTTAGTGGACTGAGAACTTGACCAACAATTGAGTGGTGCGAGGTTCGATTCCCGCTTAAGACAAACCATTGAGTGATTTTCTTTTTTTTCAATATCTCTTAATGGAATAAACATTTAACATCTTAAAACTATAATAATATTAAAAAGGAAAAGTTTGATCTAATAAAATATCATTTCATACCAGGAGCGTAGCCAGGAATTTGAAGAGGGGCAAAAAAGGAATTTATAGAATTTTTTTAAAAAGATCTTAGCAAAATTGTCATCAACCCACCCCACTGGCTACGCGCCTGTTACATACAGAATACTGGCTGACGACCCAAGTGTTTTTATACACAGCTTAGATTTTTTGAATATTTTACAGTGCAATATTGATCATTGAGTATTTAGTACTTTAGATCTGATCAATGTGAATGTCGATTATTCAGCAAAAAAAAATATCTGAAGTAGGGGAAAGGCTCCCCTCGGCTCTTGTCTATGCCACTGATTCGATTTTAATTCCATGAATATTCATAGGTTCATCCCAGTAGTAAACTTAAAGGATCCATCAAAAAAAAACAATTTTAAGATCCAGGAAGATAAAATAAGATCTGGTTTTATATCCACAAGCCTCTTCTGCTAGCTCTAAAATCATAAAACTTAATCCATAATGTGGAAGTGCTGATAATTCTTTATAATACAAAATACAGTAAATTAATCATATTCACAATTTATCCACCAACTTCAACCTTTGCCGACCCTCATCCAATTCTTGATTTCCTTAATGCAGCCAGCACCATAGCTTTGTCATTCTCAATTGCTGTACATTTCTCATTATCCAGAATTATTTCATTGCGACGATCACCGAATCTTGCCATTACCCTCGGTCTGTAGTCAACCTCAATTGCTAATGGATTTCCGTTCAATCCTAAAACTTCAAGAATCGGAAGAGCTGCAATTTCATCAATTTCATCGATATCTTTTATTATATTGCAGGATAAGTCGAGAGATTTAATAGATCTGAGTTTGCTAAGGCCTTTAAGTGACGATATGTTATTGCCGACTAGATTTAAAGTCTGAATGTTCCCAAGTTCCATGCACCAATTGCTAAGATCTTCAATTAAATTATTATTCAGACTTAAAAAGCTCAATTTTGGCAAATGACGAAGGTTTGAAATTCCACGAATTCTATTTCCATCCAGCATCAATGTTTCAACATTTGGAATCAACTTTAAGGCAGGATCAAGCTGCCAAATGTCATTGTAACAGAAATTTACAATCTTTATTGACTTCCACTGCTCATCTGTTACGGAATTGTTATGAATCGACTCTGGATTTAAAATATTTTGGATGTTCTGCGCTCGAGTAAAAGTGACAGTAAAATTTTCACAATTCTCACGAATCCTGGCATTGGAATCAACATTCATTGGCACAATTCCATAAAATTCTAAAGTTTTAACATTTGTAAATGGAGAAAGCTCAAAATTTAAGGTTGATGCGAGGATATTGGAAGTTCCAATGGGGTTAACGAGTTCCTGAAGAACATCCTCTTTTGTATCACATTTGGTTCTGGTCGGTGTCACTTTTAATGATCGAAGGTTTGAGCAAAAGTCAAGGATGTGTGAGAAGTCGAATTTGCTGCTTTGAAGCTCTTGTTGTGGACATGGAAGTCTAAGGCGGGTGGTGATCGAGTGGAGCTTAAAAGAATAAAAAAAGGATTTTGAATTTTTAAAAACCGTTAAATTTTAAATTTTTAAAAAACGTTAAACTTCTTAAAAATTCATTTTCCATAGCTTCTGCATCTAAGGTTCAGTAGACATCCCTATCCTCATATTTATATTAAGAATTGAATAACTAAAGTCACAATAATGTCAACGCGACAATAACAACTCATTATTCAATTCCATCTCATTCATCATCCTTGAATTTAATGATTCAAATCTTATTTACTACATCTACAGCCTCTCATCCATCTAATTCCCTACAAAATCATGATTAATGCTCACCTCAAGTATCGTGAACGTCCACATCCCCTCATTCTCCAGCAAATACTTTTCACCATTCTTAAAAATATCCAGCGCCAAATTGTGCAGCACAAAGATCACATCATACTTATGAAAATCCAAAAATTCAACAAATTCAACTGGCATATGCTTCTGCATGATGTGTGCAATGGTCTGCAAATATTTCTGAAGATCCTCACGTCGTTGCTCAATAAACTTACTATTCATATTCCCAAGAACCTTCTTTTTTGGCAGCAAATCCCGTCCAATTGAATAATTGACAAGTTTCTCATGAAGATCATGAAAATCTCGATATCGTCGCAATACTGTCCATTCTATGTTATGAAAGCACGTGACTCGGATGTTGTAGAATGTAATTCCATCGATAATATCAACATTTGGTATCGTTATTGTCGTTTCTAGTGGATTTCTATAATAATTTGACATAATAAGTCGCGATTATTGGAATAATATTTATCAAGTGATAGTTTTGTGGCTGTATGTGTTGGAATTTTCTGTTTTTCGGAATCAGCTGTGTTAATTCGAGGATTTCTGTTTTTGAATAAATTGTTGCAGTTACTTTGATTTGGCTCCTTTATGTTTCTTTGGGCAGTTTGAGGTCTGAATTTTGGGTTTTGAATGAAAGGATGTGCTTCGGCTCTTTAAGAGCTTGGAAATAGCTTCAATGGCAACATCCTTGGCTCACATGATCATTAAATACTGTGCTTATAGAGCCTTATTGTACATTCTATTCTTAACATTGCAAATTGAGTCACTGAACAGCGAACTATTTTTTTGTAACCGTCGAAAAAATTTCAAAAAATTTAAGAATCTCAAATAAAAATTTATAAAATCAAACAATTCAAGAAATTTAGGTATTATTGAATAAAAAGTACATCCTTATAACATAAAATGTCTTGCAATTATGCAGATAACCTGTCGCCATACGATGATAAAGGAGTTCTAGGAACACCAGAGGTAAAAATCTTATTATTTTAATTATAATGATCAAATTTGAACCAAAATCTGACCTGAATCCACTCCTTCCAGATTTTCGACTCACCATCCGAAATCACCACAAAAGTAGAACAACTAGTCGACCTGATTCTCAAGTCAAAACACATTGTAGTCCACACGGGAGCTGGAATCTCAACAGCATGCGGAATTCCAGATTTTCGAGGACCCAATGGTGTCTGGACACTTGAAAAGAAAGGAATTAAACCGAAAATTGACATCAGTTTTAAAGATGCAGTTCCTTCAAAGACACACAGAGCATTAAAGCACTTAATCGATAAAGGATATGTCAAGTTTGTAGTCAGTCAGAACATTGATGGACTTCACATGAGATGTGGAACACCACGAAAGAATCTAGCAGAGCTTCATGGCAACATGTTCACAGCAGAATGTCCAAAATGTAAGAAACAATTTGTTCGAACATCGGCAGCACCAACAGTTGGGAGAAAGACAGTCGGTGACACATGCAGGAATGAATCCCGGCCATGTCGTGGACAGTTGATAGACACAATATTGGATTGGGAGGATGACTTACCTGATGATGACTTAGATATGGCAATGATGCACTCAACAATCGCAGATCTCAATATTGGACTTGGATCAAGCTTTCAGATCATGCCGTGTGCTAAGTTCCCAATGAGGAGTCAAAAATTTGGCGGGAAATTTGTATTAATTAATTTACAGGCAACGAAAATTGAGAAGAAGGCTGATTTATCGATACATGCTTATGTGGATGAAGTCATGGAAATGGTGATGAAAAGATTGGGAATTGAAGATATTCCAGAGTACAATGAAGCTGAAGATCCAACGAGGAAGGCTGACTTTAGTGTAAATTGGAACATTCCAAAGAAGGAACTTAACAGTATTGAGAAGCTTTATAAGGAGAGAAATGAGAAGAATAAGAAGAGGAAAGGAGATGAGGCTGCGGTTAAGAAGAAGTATAAAAAGACTAAGGCTGAAGATGGGGAATAGGGTAAGGAGGGGTTCAAGGAACAGATCAGATCTTTTTTGACAAATTTTATTTTTTGACTAGAGTAAAAAATTGAATTTCATATCTTATAGCCTGCCAACTACTGCTCCATTTTAACATCACAATCCTTCAAAGCAGCCTTCAGTTCCGCCTTAATTCCTTCAAAATCCTTCACATATGGAACATTTGTAATCACTAATGTCTTCAAATTCAGATCCTTCAAGCACCTCAAACCCGAATCAGTTAAATTCTTACAATCGATCAGTTCCAAGTGCTTTAATGAATCTTTTCTGTATTTTAAATATTCCAAGGCTTCATCCTCAATGTAGCCACAATTTTTGAGGACAATTTTCTCTAATTTTGTGCAGCCTTTGATGTGTGAGAATCCAATGTGACTGATGCCGGCATCTTCAGCTATAATTTCTTGGACAAAGAATTTTGAGTTTTCTGGCGGGAGGAGGTTGTAGTCACAGAGAGGATTGGGTGCACTGGTGAATTTTACACATGATCCGTTACGGAGGAGCCTAAAAATTGTGAACATTTTAATTGAAATGTTCTAGACCATTCTTAAGATTATGCGTAGTAAGTTTCTGGTCCAAAATCTTAATGGCATTAACTTTGATGCTTAAAACCAACAATCAGCCAGTTTCATCACTCCCTGACAACTTGCTCCCGCGAACTTCACAGACACCAGCCTCAAAACTACCAAATTTCAAAGACTTACCATTCAGCTGTGCACCTATCATGTCCAAGAGCCTTAATTCTCTCACCATCGACTCGATTGAACATCATGTTAACCCACCAGAAGAACTGTCGTCCTGAATGCACTGGCTTGAACAAGGATGATGAAATTTTCAATTGACTGAACATCTTTGAATGTGAAAAATTGCTTGAAAGTTGCGAAATTTATACGAAAAAAAAATTCACAGAACTATTTTTTGGTGCCGGAGATAAACAAAAACAAAACCAAAATTGTCTTTTATTAATCAAGAATTTTCGAAACTTTTTTGAATATTTTTTGGCGGTTGCTGTTGTGATTGAAATTTTATTGCAAATTAAAATTGATGAATTTTTAAGTTTTGAGGTTTTTGAAGTCCAATTAATTGCATCAAAGGTGCTGTAGCTACTAAAATATCAGCTGAGATATGAACAAGAACTCAAAACCCTGCAAGGGATCCAAAAACCCTGCAAAGCCCCCAAAAATTTGCAAAGCAAACCCTATAAAAAATTATATTCATTAAATTACATGCTAAAGCTTAACAAGCACTGATCTGACACAATAAAAATCATCACATGTGATTAAAACAAACTACATTAATTTGGATTTTTTTTCTGTGTACACACAATCTGGTGATTTAGATTATTTTTTTTTCAGACAATAATTAAGTGGGTATGAAAAAATAAAATCACAAAATTTATGAGAAAATCGCAAGTTGAGTTAATCTTGTGGAAATTTTTCGCGTGTTCAATTTTATTTGAGTATTTTGAGTGGTCAGGGTTGGTGGACGATAGAATTATGGATTAAGGCTCCTTCAGTTAAACGTTTTAGTCAAGAATCTAAGCCGACTTAATATTCTATCCGCATCTTAGTCTAACCCAAAGAGGTCGTTCACTTATGACGTCCAAATTTAACGTTCATTAAAAAAGAACAATGGAATTCTAAAAATTTTCTTGCTGACTCCCCCCCCCCCCCCCCTCAACCCCCCCCCCCCCCCCCCCTCCCCCCTCCCACTTAGACGTCATAATTAGGGTGACCATCTGCGTAGTTTTACAACGGACAGTCCTGTATTTCAAAACCCTGTCCTGTATAAATTTGAAAACTTTGTTCCAGGTCCTGTATTTTTTTCACGAAAATTTCCGTTAATTTTCGAATTTTACTCTGTGTCCTGTATTTTTCGAAAAAATTTACCAAAAGTCCTGTATTTTCATGAAAATTAGATGGTTACCCTAGTCATAATGAAACAGGCCCAAAAGTGCGGAACTGATCAAATTATCAAAAGTGATCAAAAAATTATCAAAAACTAATCAAATACTTCCGCACCTTAAGACTAAGCCACTCCCGTTCTCCAGTGACTCATCCCCAACATTTTCAATTCAAATCAACCCTTTATTCCAACCCTGATGTTCCCACTCATCTACAAACATGGTCAATGTCAATTCATCAGCTCATTAAGCTGTGATTTAATCATTCAAAGATAAAACTTGTTCACAAGGCATGAAATTATGATGACAACTGTTTTAATTTTCGGGTATAAAATAATCAAGAAAATATTCAGAATTTATCAGTAACTCACCTGATTTATCTGAATAAACAGCAGCTGAAAATGAAGTTTTTATTGTCAATTCTGATTGTTGCTGCAGTGACTTTGTACAGCCAAGCTAAAACTCGTGAAGAAATGAAAGCAAAATGGCAAACATTAGCAGCTGAAAGCAGAATGTCAAAAGTCATCAGGAGCTTCAGACGATGATTTGGAAAAAATCATAACGCACGTGAAGCCGGAAACGCATGAAGGAAAATGCATGATTGCTTGTATCTTTGAAACTATGGGAGTTGTAAGTAGTTTAGGACTTATAGGAACTATAAAGTTTAGTGCACAGTCAGCCATTACAGGACTAGCACTTCCTTCCCCCTTTTATTCCCAAAAAAACCTTCGATTTTCATCTCATTTAATACTTTACACAACTACACAAACAGGTCAAAGACGGTAAGATCTGCAAAGAAGGCTTAGAAGCTTGGCAAAAAGAGTCACCAATACCAGCTGAAGTCATTCAGACTGCAATCACTGAATGTGAAGAAATAACTGACGCTGATCATTGTGAAGCAGCAACAGAAATTGGTCATTGCTTTAAGGAGACATTAAAGAAGGCTGGATTATTTCCTGAGGATTAAGTGAATTGGTAATGGCTGTTATAAGCGTAGGTCATCGAGGGAGCCTTGGAAACAGCACAAAATATTTTTTTCGACTGTTAAAGTTTTTCAAAATTCAAATAAAAAAATTTCTTTATTTCACAAGTTTAACCATTTTAAGAATCAATTTTTCATAAACTTTTGATAAATCATATTTGCCATGACTCCATCTTCTATGGCATTTCCCATCGATTGAAAGACTGTGACATTTTTGCTATTTTCTATTTTGTGAAGAAACTTTTTTCCAGCAACAATTTCACCAACTTCTCCATTTACATATTCCTTAATTCCTTTCAATTCAGTTTCTAGTCCAATATAGCTTTCAATGTAGACACTCGATGACTGATAAATATCCATGGCTAGCTCAGAATGATGGTTTGTTCCAGCTCCAATTGCTAAATTACAAATAAAATGAAATAAATATTTTTAATATTTTTCCATTGGATTTTTTTGGAAGTTAAGCAAGATATCAGGATTATACGAAAGATAGTGATTATGGACATAGCCTGGCCTTTAATGGCAAACCCTTCTAAAAAATTTCAAAAAACACCTGCTTCAAAAAAAAATTCTGACTCCAACCCTGTCAGTGACCATGAAATTCCAAAAACATTTGATGGTTCACTTCCAACGCCACTTCCTTAACCTGGCTATAGCTTCTCATAACATCAAACCAGAGTTGCGACTACAGGTACCTGTCATAGGCACAGGTGACAGGTCCTGTCAAAAGATAGCCTTTCACAGGCTGCCACTTGTTTCACAGGTCACAAGATTTGCAAATCTGTGACAAATCTGTCAACATGTAGCCTGTTAACAGCTGATCTGTCAAACAAGTGGTGACCTGTGACAGGTGGGCTGTTTTCGTTGCGACAGATTGCAACTCTAAATCAAACTCACCATTAATATGAACATTTTCCTTCAAATCTTTAAGCTCAAATAACGGTTGACTGGAATTTGTTGCCGTAACAACACAATCAGCACCTGCGACACACAAAATTGACGAATCTGCAATCACAATGATAATCTCTGGAAACAACGCGTTTAATTCTTTCTTTAACTTCTCAGCTCGATTTAAACTTCTGTTCCATAATTTCACTTTTATGAAGACATTTGGGAAGTAATTAAGCATTGCTAGAGCATGGATTCTACCCTGTGGAATTAGAAATTAGATAACATGGCATCATGAATCGCATGCAGGATACCTGAGTTCCACATCCAACAATTGCCAGTTCCTTTCCCACAATATTCCCATCCAAGTTCTTTAAATTCATGTCACAATACAAATATTTCGTAGCAACAACACTAACAGCTGCTGTACGCCACGCTGTAATTTCAGTTCCATCCACAATAGCTTTCAGCTTTCCAGTGTCAGAATTAAATAACAAAATAGTTCCAAGAATTCCAGGAATTGCTGGATTTAATTGAGAATTTCCACTGAAAGATGTGACAAGCTTGCATGACAATGTTGAATGCTTTTTATCACTTCCAGTGACTGAATTTAAAGTATAATTTGATGCATATCCAGGCATTGTCAGCAAAACTCCTTTATTGCCAGCAAATGTAAAGGTTCGAGGTGTTTGGGATGAAAAAGGTTCAGAGTCTGATTTTTGTGATGTGTTTGAAATTGCAACTAGTGCTGATTCCATTGCATCTACACAGTCTGTCCAATTTAATAAGTTTTTGACAGAAGACTCTTTGATGAAAGTGACGTCATCATCTTGATTGGATAGACTGCCCGTGCTTTTATCTGATTGGAGGTTTAGATGCTTTTGATCTTGGATGTTCATGTTGAATTTTTGGGGCGATTGTGATTGTGTGGATGTTGTTGAATTACTTATTTGTGGACTGTATTGTAGGATGATGAGTTGCTAGGTGTGTGAATGCTGAATGGGATGCAAAAACAAAACAAAAAGTTGATTTTTGAATTATTTTTAATATTTTTAAATTTAGTAAAGATTTTAAATGAATTTTAACATTTAATTTGAATTTATAAATATTTATTCATTTAAAAACTGAAAAAATTGATTTAAAAAAATTACCGCAGCTTCAGATTTGGTCTCTAGAACTAATTAAAGCACTTGTTGCTACAACGACAAATTACAGAATAATAAAAACAATTTAAAAATGCTTTAATGTTTTATTTACTTTTTTTTGTTATCTACATTGTGTACAGCTGTTGCATAGTCATGTGAATTGACAAGAACTAGAAGCATATTGACCTGATAAGATATGAATATTGATTTGAAACCACATTGTGGTTACTTCATGCAGGGGTGCAGCCAGGGATTCTAAAACAATTACTTTAGAACATTAGTAATTCATTTAGTATTGGATATTGGCACACAGTAGCCAGCAAGAGTGTCAGTTTTTGAAATCATCTGATGGAGACAATAGATTACAATTGATCTGTACGGTCGCCGAAGTAAGTAACATAATAAATCAGAGCAATTCTGATTCCAGAGGTGCGCTAGGACAATTCGCAGTTAATGAGAGTTTAACGAGTGAGGATGCGCAAAACCACTGCACTCAAACTTAGACCTACAATTTATAGTGGGATCCGAACCACTCCTTTGCTGACATTTCTGCTTGTAGCCTCCAAAGAAAGGCTGTGAGCCTCATTTCCAGTACATATGATTCGAAAAAGAAGAAGTTTAAACTTTCCCATTCCCAGTCTCGAACCTATGATCGCTGTGTAGGTATTGCAATAATTAGCTACCGAAGTACTAAATCATTCCGCCACGGAGCCACTTCAGCTCCAATGAAGCTTAGTTAAAAATAGGCTATAGTCATAATGTGTTGTAGCTCATAAAAAGCAGACAATTGTCCCGAATTTATCTCAAAAATAAGGATATGCAGAGTTGTCGGTTACGAGTCTTTGAGAAAATGCTTAACCTAAGCAAAGAATTTTTTTGGAGCTGTCCAAAAATCATCAAGCCAAATTTATGTGCTTACATTGAGTTTTCTTGAAGAATTTTGGTTGCAACAAGCTTGGAACTCTAGTTTTATATGTTTTAAGCTACAATTAAGCCAGGAATATGAAGAGGGGGGGGGGGGGAAATTTCAGAGGGAAAGGGAGGATTTTTATGATTTTTTCGTAACAAAAGCAAAATGAAGAAATTTCTGTTAACGTCGGGGAATTTGTCCCCAACCCCCCCTCCCTGGTTACGCGCCTGGTTTAGACTTCAAACTGACCAGCTCAACATTTATTTTAAAAAAAAAATAATTCAAACTTGCACATCCTTTGCATTCAGTCAGAGATAAGAGAATAAGTTAGGGGTCGTTCACTTATGACGTTTATCAAAAAACCTGATTTTTAGACCCTTCCCCACCTTCTGTCACAAAAATTCTATAGAAAAAAGTTTCCATTGTTTGAATTGTCATAAAATCCTAGAACCCCCTCCCCCCTAAATGTCGGACGTCATAAGTGAACGGCCCCTTAAGGTTAATCTACTTTTAATGAATTCAGTGTTTTTTTAAAATCGAAACATTGAACAAGAAAAACATCCAGATCATCTCACTTTTTAATAATCATTTGCTAGTTTAGCATCAATAAGCAAACAAGTTTAAATTCGTGAATACTTAAAATGTACAATAAATACTCAAATTGTCCTGATTAAAGGTTTAAAATGGATACGGATAGTAAAGATAAAATTAAGAAACAGAAAAAATCACAAATTTCAAGAAAACCAGGCAAGACTCGAACGATAATTGAAAATATCAAGCAAGAAAGAAATGAAAAGAATACAGAAGAATTTGAATGTTTAAATGCTGTGCTTAATGTGATCGAAACGCTCAAAAAGTCATACAATTTGGAAACTAAAGTTGGACAAAATCTGGGAAAAAATTAAACCAAAGATGCTAATTTGCCGAAAATTCGTGACTGTCAAGTATTATTGAAGGATATAAAGAATCAAGCTAATACTTTTAATCGTGAGTTGATGGATATATCTTCTATCAAAACTGAGCTTGGAGAAGATTTTAAAATAAATTTAAGCTCAGAAGCCTTAAAAAGTTCCAAAATCTCATCAGATCCTGACATAAAGCGACTTAATCGTAGATTCAATTGCAGTTTTTGTCACAAAAGCTTCACATCTCGATGTTACTTGTCCATTCATACGAAATCACACCATAAAAGACCTAGAAAATTATCTTATAGCTGCAACATTTGTAATTTAAAGTTTACAACAAAATCTATTCATAAATCACATGCCAAACGTAAGCATTCCAATGTAAATCGTCAAATGAGGCTAGCAATATGATTCAATGTTAATCGACAAAATGCAGAGCAGAGTTCCTTCCAATGTAAAACTTGTCTAAAATTTTACAAATCTGCTGCTTCCTTAAAAACTCATCAAAATATTCACGACAAAAAATTTAATTGTAAAATTTGCAATAAAAAGTTTTCATTCCAAATAAGCAGGCTTTACAGTCTCATAGACGCAATGTTCATCGAAATATCAAATTTCAATGTGATTTTTGTGGAAATTTTTTAAAAACTAAGCGAGCAATAAAACTTCATTTGTTATAGACTGTGCCCATCGTTCATTTCGTATTCCAAAAGAATCGAAAAGTCAAGAGCCAAACCACAACTCAAAATGCTGCCACAGATATCAAGTCTTTTGGACAGTAACAATTTTCCATCGTTAAGCAAACGACATCAAGTTTCTGCTCATTCACATCCAGTGAATGCTGCAAGTAACTCATCAGCATCATTTAAAGAAGAGATTAATCAGCAACAACTGATCAATAATATCAGTTATGCAGAGAAACTCAACGAAGCAGTAAAGAATGAAAGCCTTTTCAAGAAATTCACAGAAGCTCAAGAACGTCTAAAGAGAATCCCCAACATTGAAGAAGCAATAAATCAGTTCTGCAGTTTCGTAGACGAAGTCGGAAAGATCCCAAAGGATGCACCTCAAGGAACTGCATTTAAACTCATAGTGAAGTGTGGCTTCATGAGCTGCTCACCAGCACCGACAAGCCAGTTCAAAAATAATTTATTAACGTAGTTCATAAGCTTAAAAAAAGCTTTTTTTTTTCTCGCTCGGCAACTTTTTTTAAACTTTTTATGCCACATTTTCATGATATATGCAAATCTCATTCATCAAAATTAATAATTAATCAAGATATAGTTGAATTAAAGCCGTATTCAGGCTGGTGTCAAAATAAGACTCAAAGAAATGTAACTTAAACTACAATAATTCCAAATTTGAAATAAAGAAAGATTTGTTTAAAACTTCATTTGCTGATGCATTTAAGGATTTAAATTTGTTGTTGTTGTAAATTTTTATTTATTTTAATAAAGTTTAACATAAAAAAAATTAACTTTTTAAAATTTAAAGGAGTTGTTTGATTTTTAGTGTTGACTAAGCATAAGGCAGTGTTAAAGGCTTTTTGACGACGATTTTTTCTTTGTCTCATTCGAGTTTGATTCGAGCTAGATTATTTAATTAACCATTGTCTCTTATAAACGTATTAAATGCTGTTCTGAAGCATGTCTACACAAAAACTTAAATCCTTGTCACTTTAAACTTCTTTGGTGTCATTTCTTAATGAATTTTCTTCAGGAATTTCGCTCAAGTCCTTTTGTTCTTCTCTTTTTGGCTCAGCCCATGATTGTAACTGTCCGGATGACAATATTACATACAAAACAGCTCCTGCTATAAGTAAACCTCCAGCAGATGAAAACACTGTGCTCCAGACACCTTTGTCAGTCTAAGGAATAGAATTTTTAAATAAATTATAGCTTTTTTGGTCATCAAGGGTCCACAAATGGATCAAAATGGTAAATAAAGTTTAACTCTATTGATATATTTTAATAATTGAAGCTACACCTATTCTTAAGTCAAATATTAAACTCAACTCACTTGGTCAAATCTCATCAAGTCTGTAAGAATTGGACAAGCTATTCCAGCTACGAATCCAACAGTGTTTGATATTCCAATAATTATGCTCGCGTATCTCGGTGCTATATCCAAATGATTAACAATGAAACCTGACACAGCAAATCCGCTCATTGCCTTGCAGCCCAAAATCAATAGCAAAGCTCTTGGCTGTAATTATTATGATTATTAAAAGTCAAGGAAAGTCTTAACTGTTGTGCAAGGAATCATTCGAGGAGTAAAGAACTTATTGCTACTCGAAGTCCCTTGCACAGATGACTAGAAAGCAAATAAATAGAAAAAAACCTTACCGCAGTGTGAACATTTGGTAAATACAGCAAGCACACTCCTTGGACTATAAAGCTGACACAGAGGAAAATTTTTCGTACATTTGTTGTAGACAGGATGCGTTTTTGACGTAAAAAGTCTGATAAAAATCCACCGAGCGGTAAAATTATGAGCATAATAATGTAAGGCAATATAGCGATTAATCCGTCCTGTAATTAGATGGAGAATTGGTAGCTTTTCACTTTTGGTAGATCCTTAAAGCTCATTTTTAAGTGTGCACTATCAGTATATCCAAGTAAAGCTTAAGAACCGTACCATGAGCAGTTTAAAGCGTCCTTTAAGTTACCTCATTAATCTTAAACGAAAATGTGTGCCTAAAAAATCTACTTTGATAGTATCCAAGGGTGTAGTAACTCCATTTTTGACAAAATGTAGCAATAACAATTGCAAACACAGGTAATGATGTCAAAATTTTGATCCACGGTATGCATGGCACCTGATGCTTTGCTGATTCTCCCAGTGACTTCTCAATGTACATCAACTCCTGTTCTGTTATTGTTGGGTGATTTCGAGGCTTTTCGAGTACAAGCCAATACCAGAATCCAAACCAAACAATACCGAGAAGTCCAAAGAAAATGAACATTATTGTCGGATGAATCGAGGTTGATAGATGCTCACATATGATGGTGCCTGTGGGTTGAATTGACAAATTAGTAAAGTTTACGATCCGAACAAGACAAAAGTGCGAGAATTGAGGGATTGGAAAAGCCCAAGTCTGATTCCGAAGCTGACCAAATGTCAACTGCAAACCCTCTCTTGACACCGCTAAATGCACCGCTGGTGACCGAGCCATGTTGAGGGTGGTAGCCCTACATTCAGGCTTGGGATGGTGAGGTTTACAACCAACCATTCCCGAAATCAACATGAACAAAGAAGGCAATAAAATGTAAATAGGACTGGATTGCAAAA